TCAGGAACAATGAAATATCTAATAAATGTAAAAAAAAGAGGTTACAATAAATATAAGGCAAGAACAAATAGCGTTTACCAAATATATACAATGAATACATTTATCACACTATTGAGACAGGCCTGTAGTTATATCCTCTCTGTGTCGAGGATTAGTTGCTTGTGCCTTCAATTTTATTAACAAATTCCGAGAATGATTTGGTGTTTGTGATCGATGGATGTACTTGATTCCATTCCCTAATGGCAAGTGGAAAAAAAGAATGCTTGAAGGTTTCATTACTATATGAATATTCTGTTAGTATATTGGGATGCTGTTGGCGTGTAGGTCGGGTTTCGGAAAACGAAATGTACTTCGACACGTTTATCTTGAAACTGTTGTGAATTATCTGAAACAAGAATTTTAAGCGGGCTTCTTTCGCCCTTTCTAGCAGCGTTTTTAGATTGGATGCGTTTAAAAGGTAAGTTGGGGAGTCAGTGCGCCTGTACCTGTTGTGAATAAATCTTATCGCTTTTCTTTGCACTGCTTCCAGTTTCCTTATGTTAGTCTTTGTATGCGGGAACCAAACCACGTTGGCATATTCTAAAATCGGTCTTATAAATGTCTTATAGGCAAGCAGCTTTATTGGGGTGGGAGCTAGTTTTAGGCTTCTTTTAAGAAAAAATAACTTACGTAGTGCTGCTGCGGAAACGTTATCTATGTGCTGGGTCCAGTTAAGGTCCGAAGTAAGCGTCACCCCTAAATATTTATGTTGGTTTACTTTAGGTAGCATGGTGCCGTCGACTGCATAGTTGAATATTGAGGGCTGTTTTCTTTTAGTTATTGTGATCACAGCGGATTTTTTTACGTTTATTGACATCTGCCATTGTTTACACCATTCGGATATTGTGTTTAGGGAGGCACTCAGCGCAAGGTGGTCTGTATGGCTATTGATTTCCTGATATATAACACAATCGTCAGCAAAAAGTTTTATGTTAGAGTCGATGTTTGTTGCAATGTCGTTGATATAGATTAAAAATAACAATGGTCCAAGAACTGATCCTTGTGGTACGCCTGATGATACAGAAACGGTTTTCGATGTAGCTTGTTCAAAGAATACGAATTGTTTTCGATTGAGCAAAAAGTCCTTAATCCAACTGGCGAATGAGGTGTTACCTAAGATGGCTTCCAATTTCGCAATTAATTGTTATGGCAGACACTGTCAAATGCTTTTGAAAAATCTAATAGGACCATATCTGTTTGACTGCGGCGATTGAGGCTATGTGCAAGGTCATGTACAACTTCGGTCAATTGTGTAATAGTTGATAAACCGTTTCGAAATCCATGCTGGTTGGGAGAAAAAAAATGTATTTGTTCAAGGAAAGATGTGATGTGTTTAAAAATAACATGTTCTAGTAGTTTGCACGATGTACTTGTAAGAGATATAGGTCTATAGTTCGATACCAGGACTTTATCTCCGGATTTATGTATTGGTATGACTTTAGCTAATTTCCAGTCAGACGGTAATTTAGCGAGCTGCAAGGATTTCCTAAAAATTATTCCGAGATATTTACTACTCCATTCCGCGTACCTTTTAAGAAATTCGTTCGGAATGTTATCGGGACCACTAGATTTCCTGGGATCAATTTTCAATAAAAGATTCATGACACCGGCATCTGTAATGATTAGGTCATCGATGGTCGTGGTAATGCGCGAACTAATAGAGGGTACATTTTTATTTTCAGCTGTGAATACAGATTGAAAAAAGTTGTTAAATGACTCAGCTTTATCTTGTTTTTCTTTTGCAGATAGTTGTGTCACTGCCCCCTTTACACTGAAATGTTTCCAGAACCTGCGAGGGTTATTTGCAAGGAAACTCGGCAGAGTTACGTTAAAGTAATGATCTTTTGCCGCTTTGGTTTTATCTCGTAGATCAGTCTTAGCGTTCTGCAGTTTTAAAGTTATCGACTGGCTTTGGTTATTTTTTGCTGTTTTACGAAGACGATTCACGCGACGTTTTGAGTGAATAACTTCACGCGTGATCCATGGGTTTGACCTCTGCTGTTTTCTAGTTTTTTGGGGAACATACTTATCGATACAAAAAAATATAATTGATTTGAACTTAATCCATAGAGCGTCTATGTCACATGATGCGTCCGACGCGAGTTGTGAAAAGTTGGCAAACTCGTAGTCTAAGTGTGTTAGTATGCTGTTGTCGTCTGCTCTTTGAAAGTCAGCAATCACAGACACTTCGTCACGATTGATTTGGGTATTGCTAATAGGTAGAATGCATAGCGGTATATCGTGGTCCGAAATGCCTTCAATAATACTCGATTTAACGGCACTTATCGGGAAGTGTTGGCTGAGAAGGATAAGATCCAGGATGTTTTTAACGGCACCTTGTGTGCGCGTAGGCTCAGTTACGATTTGTTGAAGGTTAAAGGCAAGCATAATATCAAGGAGAGCTTCAGAGGCTGCTGACGAGTGATGCATAGTATTCCATTCTATGTCAGCAAGATTGAAATCACCCATCAGCAGTACTTTCGAATTTCTCACATTTTGATGCATGAATTCTTGAATGGCCGATATACTTTCATGACCCGATGACGGGCTCCGGTAAACACACCCAATGAACACAGTCCCTGAGTCACACGTGAGTTTACAAAAGATTGCTTCAGCTTCTAAATTGTGCGCCAAAACGTGGAAGGAAAAGCGATTCTTTATCAGCAGAGCAACACCACCCCCTCGCGTCAGACGGTCCTTGCGGATTACAGAATAACTTGGGGGAGCAATTTCAGAGTCGTACACGTCAGGGGTGAGCCATGTTTCAGTGATAGCCACAACATCAGGTTCATATTCAAGCAACAGATTTTCAAGAGCTTCGATTTTGTTTAGAATACTTCTAGCATTTATATTCAGTACAGTTATTTCTTTAATTTTGTGCCTTGACGAGTGTAAGGCCGCCCCTTCGTGTCGTCCTTTTTTTGACGAAGCAGAACTTTGTCATTTTTTTCGTTATTCCAAACGAAGGCTTGGCCATTAATATAGAGTTTGTCGAAGGCTAGTGACACCTTCTCGTGTTTCTGTCGATTTTCTTTTGCACTCTCCCAAAGCCTCTTTCTGACTTCCCGTATTTTACGCGAGAAGTCTTCACCAATGGACAAGCCAGAGTTTTTCAGTTTGTACCCATTTTTGAGTATTCCATTTTTTTGTCTAGAATCCAGCAGTTTGAAAATCACTGGTCTGACTTTATTTGTCTGTGCATTCCCTAATCGGTGTATACGTTCGATTACAACTGGTTCAAGTTCCAGTTTTTCTTTAATAATACCTTCGTTTACGGCTTGTTCTAAGCTTTCACTTGTTTCTCCCTCCTGTTCAGCTAAGCCGTACACAATAAGGTTTGACCGGCGGCTTCGATTTTCAAGGTCATCTATTCTTTTTTGCAGTGTTTCAATTACCTGTTTCATGTTTAATATTTCACCGTGAGAAGCTTCGACTTTCTTTTCTAGTTCCGTTATTGCGTCAAGCTTTTTATCAATATCGGTCAGACGCTTCTCTTTTATCTCTTTTATGTCGGAAGCAATTTCCTTTATCTGTCTTGCGATTTGGGTTAGCTCAGGCCCAGGGTTTGTTTCAATATCGCCCCCAAGGAGCAATAATTTCTTCGCTAGGTCTATACATATTGACACAATTCCACAAAACTGCCGCGGGCACAGCAGCACAAGCAAGAAACGGTTGTCTGATCGAATACAAATTCCATGTTCCCTTCTCACCTGCACGATGAAGACGAAGGGGTTAAGCGTCCGCATTGCCTGAGTGCCGCTGTGCCCACAGCCTGCGTTGTTTGGTGCGGGCGCTTTTGTAGTCGTGGTTATCCGTGGTGGCGCTGCTTGTAGGTCGATTGCACTGGTTGCCTTGTAGTGACGCAACACAGATTCAACTGCCACGAAGAGCAGGATATCTGGTGCGTGTAGTGTCGATGCGTTGAATGCCTGCGCAGTCCACGTGTCCGTGGTCAAGATGGCGTTTCCACCGCTGACAGAGAACAGCAAGTCCGGGAAGAGCTGCAGCATCTGCACGATGAAGACGAAGGGGTTAAGCGTCCGCATTGCCTGAGTGCCGCTGTGCCCACAGCCTGCGTTGTTTGGTGCGGGCGCTTTTGTAGTCGTGGTTATCCGTGGTGGCGCTGCTTGTAGGTCGATTGCACTGGTTGCCTTGTAGTGACGCAACACAGATTCAACTGCCACGAAGAGCAGGATATCTGGTGCGTGTAGTGTCGATGCGTTGAATGCCTGCGCAGTCCACGTGTCCGTGGTCAAGATGGCGTTTCCACCGCTGACAGAGAACAGCAAGTCCGGGAAGAGCTGCAGCATCTGCACGATGAAGACGAAGGGGTTAAGCGTCCGCATTGCCTGAGTGCCGCTGTGCCCATATATATATATATATATATATATATATATATATATATATATATATATATATATATATATATATATATATATATATATATATATATATATATATATATAGATATATATATCCCTCAACTCGGTAGTTCCTTAGGACGTGAATAAAGTTAGTTGACTGAGTCATCCTTCCCTTTCCTTTTTTTTTTTTCTCTCGGCACACCTCGGAAATCGTGACATATTATCGCACTATTTTTTTTTTTTAATTTTTGAGGTACTCGCGCACCCCTGCTAGAATGTCGAGGGGCGAACGCGCTTAGAGCCAGGAAAGTATTCTGTGATCAAGAGCTTTCAGTTGGAAAGTTTTGTGTGAAGACCAACTGAATAAATCGCTTACATTGACACACCAATCCTCGCCCAGTGAGAGGATATACCAGTAATAGAACTAACGAACTTCGGACAATTAGTTTCATACAAGGCTCGGCCATCGTAATCACTTCCTGGCGCAATGCAAACGAACCTAGACGAGGCAATTTATCGCGAGCGAGAACACCGAACGCAACTTCAAAAATGCGCGCGCTTTGCAATTTAGTCACGTGCCATTTGTGATCGTGTGGATTTGTTACGCAGTCACGCACACGTTTCGCCGGTTTGTCTAGACCGTCCGGGCAGACCTGGCGCCTAGCTGGGCACATCTGCCAAACGCACCATTGAGAAATGCACGGTGGTCATCATCATCACACGCGCCTTGCAAGGCAGCGTGTGTGAGTTTTTTCTGTGGTATGATTGCGCATCATTCGTGACGCACAAACACCTTCCGTGAAATGCCTACGTTACGTGCTGCATGGCCAAGCAGGCGTCGTGAGTTGCCCGAAATTGTAGTCGAAGGGACGCAGTATCACTGCCATTAAGCAGAAATTTTGCCATCCAGTGGCTTGACGACGTCGAGAAATGAGCGCGTAGGCACAGCCACACACAACCAAGTGATGCGCTTCGTCACCACGGACAAATCGTACGTATCTCTCTGCTTGGCCGCATCTCATGCCGCGATCTCTATCAGACGTGTTATTGTTATAGCGAGCTGGTTTATTTCCGCATCCGCCTGCGTTGGTAGCCATCGACCTTCGTGCTTTTTCCGGACAGCGACGCTGCCACGCTGTGGTGGAATAAAACGCGCATACTACGCAAGCGCGCACAAGTGTCTTGCAAACACTGCCGAATATCGCATGTGAATGAATGCGAACAGCCGTATCAGGATGTGAACTGGCAAGCTGGTTTAACAGTTTTATGGATGATTCGAGTTTGATACAACTGCAACGAGAACACACACTTCGTACTGATGTTGCCCGGACGTCGACACCGCCAGGATTTATCATCCTGGGGTTTATGAACGAGGTCCTCGAGGTAGAGAAAGACACTAGTAGCCTTGTAAACTCCTAGGAATCATTCAGTGCTCAAATATTGAATGTGGTCTCCCAGGGGAGCACATGGGGCCTCTTGTCAATGAGTACATTAACGAGATAAATTTATCTACAAATGACACCAGTTTATTTCTATTGGGAAATTCAGCCACTGACTCAGTAACAAGAGGTAATCAGGCATAAATTATGTTAATGAAAGCCACTTAAAATGTATCTATAGAGCAGAATTGTTTTTACCACACGATATGAGCAAAATGACATGAGCTAGTGATATTAACCAGGACACTGTAAACATACTGTCAGCATCAAATGAGACTTGAACAATGACGAGCATTAGCAATGGTATTGTGCGTACCATCCAACAATCACCACTGACCTGCACAAAATGGGAGTGCTACGTGCCTGTCAATGGTGATGACTGAACGACATGCACTGTACCATTTCGTATGCTTGCTGCTGTTTGTATTTCAGTTGACTCTGATAGTACTATGGCCTATGGGAGGACCACATAAACCACATGACTAATATATAAGTTCAAACCATCACTACTATTTTTGAAAATTTCTTGCTTCTATCAACATGATTTTTTGCACTGCACTTCATTATAATCAGATATAAATTGCATTGCTTGTTTTACAAACCACCACTGATGAAAATACTAAGCTTGTTATGTTGCAAAAGCTTGAAAGCTGTGTAATATGTGACATGGCCTACCTATTTGACAACACTGGTCTTTTTAAAACATGCAGTATTATTCAACAAAGTTTCATGCACCTTTGCTATTCGTGCCTGAAAGTGCAAACTCTGCCTAGGTTATGACAGTCGGGATGTGCTAGAAACTAGCCAGACTCAAAGCCAACAAGACAAAATATACCCAAAAACGTGAAGACTGGAACATTAAGTGTCATTTTAATCATGGAAAACAAATGCCATGCTTTTTGCTACCCGCATAGCTAAATGCATTTAACAGTGAACAACTTTTTGATATTGAAGATATTTCATTGGAGTGATTTGCAAAGTGTACCACTGGCAAAGACATTTCTTGTAAACTCGTCATTGCATAAAAAAAATCTACTTTTGTCGATTGCTTTTAGTAGTTAATGTATAAGAAGTGTTGTTTGCACAACTTCTTATGTGTGTTATACGTATGTATGTTTGTCACGGTGCGTTATATGTAAAGTACCATGTACTTTGTTAATGCAATAGCATTAAAGAGCCTGTTTAGCAGTGTCGGCATTGATGCTGGCGACGGTGACAGCGTCGTTGATTGTGAGCGAAAAACAATCTTGTCCGTGACCAAAAAATTGAAAAAGGTGCAAGTGAAATAAATAATAAATTGCTTTGGATTTGAGTCAGCATTGAACCCAGGCCATCTGCATGGCAAGCAGCTGTTCTACTACAGAGCCGCACTATTTCTTAAAACTGCTTAAAAAAAAAACACTATACAAACGTCATGTCGTGCAAGGAGTCTCCTTAATGCATGTAGTATTGTGTGTCAGAAGTGTAGTGCCACACCAGACGTCAAAACATGTGAATAGTGCGAGTGAATATTTTAAAAGTGCACCCATTACAAAGGGCTCAGACATTTTATCATCATCAGCAGCAGCGAAATAAAGTGAAAAGTTGCATTGATTTGTGTGTTGCCTTACATATGCATAGTGGGCCCATTGCTGATTTGCAAAATGAATAATTGTGGGATAGTGGGCACTTAGCAACTGTACTTGCAGTTGGCATTCTAGGATACTTTGAAACATCCAATATGTTACGCGCACAGTCATTCATTTTCTTATGGCATGGTTGAAACATTCACCAAAAAACAAAGCCAGGCTGGCATTTGGAAGGGCAATGTGCACAAGACGCGACTTAGCTATCGCGCTCTATTCTTGAAGGTGAAGCTCAAGTATCCTCCAAGTTTGTTTTTTCTTCTGTGTCTTCTGGACCGTCACAGTGACATTGTGTGTGTATCGTGTGGCCTGGTTCTGTCAAGCTGTTTGTGTAGCATTTTCCTCTGTCCCTGTATATTACATACATGGTGGGTGAAAATCAAGAATTGTTTATAAATTTTCTAATACCTTTATACCACACAATTTTTATAACATGATAAAGCATTTTGTTTCTATGGTTGGGAATTTGTTGTGTGTTGTTGAAATTTTGCATAGGTAACCGAAGCTCAAGTTTGCGGAGCGATGACAACAGCGCGCCTGGTTCTGACGGCGAGCTCTGAAAAACTTGAGAAATGCGAGAGAGGTCGTAGGCGAGTCAGTGTGTTCCGCCGAAACGAGAGCACATGCGACTTGCGCGCAACGCGTTCTGCAGTTGGTGCGGGGAACTTAGGCACCGTGCCGTTAGCTTGGCACGCTAAAATGAGGTGCTCGCTGTGCGAAGTTGCCATTCCGCGATGGAACAAGCAGCGCCGCGGAAGCGTCGGCAAGGTCTGAAGTATTGTTGTGTTGTTGGCTGCCACAACAATGCAGACAACACCAAGGGACGCTCTCCCCATGTAAAGCTGTATCAGTTTCCTAGCAAGTGAAAGCCGACGAACACAGCCACGTTCACGAAAGATGGAGCAAACACGACACGAGAGCCGAGGGTTTAAAAAAAAAAAAAAAAAAACCGAGGCGAGCACTTCAACTCGACTCGCTGTGGTTAAACTTAAGCTTTCTGCTTGGTGACGAGGTAAGCGGGTCATGCTCCCACGGCATAGAGGACATGGCTTTAAAACTTCTTGGACATTTTAATGCCATGACTGTATAACTTTAGCTGTTATTTACTTTTTTAGCACGCCGCGAACGTTTGCACGTGACAGTACACAGCTGCTACTGCTATGTACCTCATTAAACAACAATTATATGGTTTCCATAAACGTCAACACAGCACATCGATAGAGTACGCAGCTTTATGTCGGCAGAGTGAGATTTACCTCGAGGCATACGTCGTACACGGGATTATCACGGAGGACCTGCATTTCGCAGAGACTCGGCATCCTCGTCTTTCGTTGTCGACTCCACATGATAAACTTGACTTACGAGCTTTACTCCTTTTGTAAGATTCCCTTCTTGGAAGTGCTTGTCCAGCTCAGAGATCTTTATGAAGCCGCACTGTAGGCGGTTTGCGAAGTGACTCAAACGCAGTGTGCGCTCTCTGCACGAGCACATAAGTGAGTGGCAGTGCATTGGCGGGAACGTAAAACGGCCCCACCGTGGTGGTCTAGTGGCTAAGGTACTCGGCTGCTGACCCGCAGGTCGCGGGTTCAAATCCCGGTTGCGGCGGCTGCATTTCCGATGGAGGCGGAAATGTAGGCCCGTGTGTTCAGATTTGGGTGCACGTTAAAAGAAGCCTAGGTGATCGAAATTTCCGGAGCCCTCAACTACAACGTCTCTCACAATCATATAGTGGTTTTGGGACGTTAAACCCCACACATCATCATCATCAGGAACGTAAAACGTGCGATATACATCCCTGATTTATAATTTTTTACCAAAGATGGCACTGTCTGGCCAGAGTGGCAGCGCCACCATGCATTGCTTTGGCTTCCTATAAGCACCATTATTCATTAATGTTCTTGTTTTTGTAAATGAGTGGAGGTGTTGGTATCAGACGGCTGCAAAGAGTCCTGTGTTGTGTTTGGAAAAACTTGCTATTTGCATTTCGAATTCATAAAGAGCTTTTTGTATTGTGCGATGAATTTGCTCGGCCCACCGTAATGAAGATGTTGCTGAGCGTTGGTGGCTCCTTGCAGTTCATGTAGGGAGCCATGACGTACGTTCCTACCAGCATCATGAGAAATTTGTGCCAAATAATTATATATATATATATATATATATATATATATATATATATATATATATATATATATATATATATATATATATATAGGTTATTTTACCTTAAGTGTCCCAGACGTGCTGCTTGACCATCACAGATCCTGCCAATGAAATATAAAATTTACACCTTTTTCGTATACGCAATGGAGCATTGCGGCCAAACATTTTTGCTCGAAAAAAATTTTCAAGACCGTGGCGCCCCCTCAAAGTTCGCTTGCTTTTGATAAAATGTGCACAATAGAAATTTGTATATAAAATCTATATTTGTTTGTGGAACTTCAAAACAGTGCTTGCTCTACTAAAGGGGTTCTGTTTAGATGTGCTGCTAAACTGTTCTGAAATTTTTGTGTTTACCTACCAGCTAGGCCTTTTCAAAAACCACAAAAATTTTCAAAGTTCGCCATTTTTCCCTAAGCTAGGTGGAACTTTCTCTAAGCTATGTTAGTATTACTGTGGTTTTTAGAAAAGTTTATTTTTGTACAAAAATGTTTGTGGGTGAAATAGAGTTCAAATCTTCCCGAAAAGAATTTTGGAAATTGGCAAAAATATGCAATTTGTCCCCTATTTGACCGTATTTTTCATACTGATGCGGTCCAAGAAAAAATTCTTATAATGCGGCGTTCGATAGATCACTTCATCGTTAAGTAATGAAGAAAGTCTAATCAAGTCATTTTTTGTTTTAAGAAAACAAAATTCTGAAGTTGGTTCTCATAACGCAGCCTGCATTCCTTTGTTGCCACTTTACCGCAAAGCACATGGTCGCCCTTTAGACTGACACTCGTCGCAGGAAGTGGAAAGGTGCGAGATGTATGTCAGCGGCTTTTGAGTGATTGAAAGTCTTGTTGCTTTGATGTCAAGGTTACGAGTATTGAGTTTGCTTTATGATGTGAGCTTGCTTTGCGTGCACATTGGGTAGTATGAAAGCCATGCAGCAGCTTGCAGTATCGTTGGCATATTGTGCTACAGGACTGTCTGCACAACTAGTAAACAGAGACCGAGACTAATAAAGCGCATTGTGTGCACATTCTCTTACTTACATGATACACTGGTTGTGCAGACATCCCTACAGCACATGGGCCAATGATACTGCAAGCTGCTGCATGGCTTCTATACTTCCCAATGGGCACGCAAAGCAAGCTCACATCATAAAGCGAGCTCAATACTCGTAGCCTTGACATTAAAGCAACACGACTTTCGACCATGTGCTTTGCAGTGAAGTGGAAACAAAGGAATGCAGGCTGCGTTCTGAGGGCCAACTTCAAAAATTATCTTATTTCTTAAAACAAAAAATGATTTGATTAGACTTTCTTCATTACTTACCATGAAGGGATTTATGAAACGCCGCCTCATGAGAATTTTTTCTTAGATCACATCAGTACGAAAAATGCAGGCATATATTGGACAAATAGCATATTTTTGCTAATTTCAAAATTTTTAGGGGGAAGATTTGAAGTTTACTTCACCCTTAATAATTTTTGCACCAAAATAAACTATCCTAAAAACGACAATAATATTAATATTGTTTAGAGAGAGTTTCAGCTAGCATAGGAAAAAATGGCGAACTTTGCTAAATGCAAAAAAAAGTCTCACATGTACCATTTCTACCAAGCAGCAAAAAAAAAAAAAAAAAACCCATGAAATAAGTGACTAGTGTATTTGCGTGCCATTTTCGTCTTGGTCTCGATCAACTTTGGTTTCAGTGAATGAAATCGATTGCAGCCATGACTCGCCAGCTCCATAGCAGTGGTAGGCCGATAGGTTGGTGGTGGTTTCTTGGCTTGCACTAGCTGAAACTTGCACTGTAATACATGCCAGTTGGCCGATGTGGGTTAAAGAACTGCCACCAACCTGTAGGCTACCACTGCTACCGAGCCAGCGAGTCGTGGCCGCAGCTGAAGTCATGGTTGAGAGCAGCATGAATGCACTAGTCACATTTTTTTCCTTTTATTTCATGCACTTTCTTTACAACTTGCAAAAAATGGCACATGTGAGACTTACTTTATTGCAAATAATACAATGGTAGTTTCTGAAGATGCTCTTGAACTTTGTAAATTTCATTAATTGCCCAAATTCAATATTTAGCAATTTAGTTAAATAATCCTAATTAATGAAATAATTTATTTCAAGACAAAAAAATGTCTGTAGTGCACAAGATGGCTTTCATAAATATGCAACTCATCTTACAAGCATGCCCGTAACATAGCATGTTTTAACCCTACAAGTTAGCTGGGACAGTCGGTACATAGTCACATACGAGGTGTAAGAAATGTAATGAGACTGAGTTTGTACTAACCGAAGTTTTCAGTTTTTATCAAACAACAGTGTTATCCCCCTTAAGGTAGTTCCCTGGGACAGATGTACACTGGTGGAGTTATTCCACTCTTGATAGCAGTGCTGGAACTCTTCAACTTGTATAACTTTTAACTGGTCAGTCACAGTCTTTTGAATGTTCTCCGCAGTTCTAAAATGACGTTCTTTTAGGTCATGTTTCAATTTAAAAAAAAAAGGAAAAAAGAAACAAAGACTCAAATCAGGTGAATAGGGAGTTTAAGAACCACAGTAACAAGTTTTGAGGTAAAAAAATTCACTGATATAGATAGCCCTGTAACACGGTGCATCGTCACAATGAAGCATCCTATTTTCTGCAATGTCTTCATGAGCGAGGCTCATTTTCAACATTTTCTAGGTGTTTTGAAAATGGCTTGTGCCAATGGAAAACTTGTGCTCTTGATGAGCAGTGTTTATACACACTTGTTCGAAATTTTCGAAAGCCATACTCGTGGATTCACCAACTTTAACACAAAACTTCATAGCAGAACGCTGCTCTAAGTTCCCATGCTCTATTTATTTAATACCCAGCCAAAACGCAACTCCACTTATGACACTGTCAAAACTACTGTGTTAGCTCTACAAAGTTGTAACTTGGACTGAGGAAGTGGAAGGATTAAGAAACTGATCTAGCACAGGCCGTAAGACACAACGTTGCCAGATTGTTTGTAGTGTTACCAGTCTCGTTACTATTCTAACATACCTCGCTCATGAGTAATTCTATGCCAAGTGTCCCAGCAATGGGCTTGCACATCACAGATTTTTCTGATAAAATGCGTGTCTTTTCCTCCAACACAGGAAAGGTAGTATTATGGCCAAACATCTTTTTTTGAAAACAAATTTTCATCACCGTGCCACTTTCTCAAGAGTTTGTTTGCTTTTGTTGAAATTTGCCTTTTAGCAAAATGTACATAAAATCTATTTCTGTGTGATGAGCTTCCAAACTGTGTTTGCACTGCTACAGAGGTTCTGTTAATCTAATTCTGAAATATTTGTGTTCACTGCTAGCTGTGCATTTTCAGAAACAATGAAAATCTTGAAAGCTCGCAATTTTATTTTAAGCTAACTCACTCTCTCCCTAGCCATTATATATATCAGTACAGTTTTCAGTGAGCAATATTTTTGTAATAAAATGTTAGGTTTGAAATAGATTTTACCTCTTTCAAAAAAAATGTGAAAACGTAAAAAATATGCTATTTGCTGTATATGTGGTCGTATTTTTTCTATTGATGCGGTCCAAGTAAAAATTCTGATGATGCGGCATTTGATGAAAAACTTCACTGTTAAGTAATGGAGAAAGTTTAATAGATTTACGTGACAATGTGCGTTAGGTTTAGGTTAGCGGGCCCTATGGTAAATAGGGATGGTAGAGAGCAGCTAACGGTATCATTGGCACTTGGTGGGGCTCTCTGCACATCCAGTATACAAACAACCGATAGAAATAATGGACATTTTATACACTTTTTTTTTTGTATACTAGTTGTGCCGATGGCCCTGTAATACAATATGCCGAGAAATACCCTAAGCTGTTCTCCGGTGTCCATACTTCGCATTGGGACAGCCAAGCAAGCTCGCATTGTTATACGAATTCATTACTTGTGTAACCTTGACATCAAAGTCACAAGATTTTCTCTGGTTTCGCCTTTTTTTTTTAAATGATCTCAAGTCTATTTCACTACTACACCTTTTTGTACAAAAATAAACCTTACTGAAAACTATACTGATACTATTAAGGTTTGCTAGGGAGAGTGAAAGTTTAGCGTAAAGTTGTGAACAATAAAAATGTTTCTTGTTTTTGAGAATGCATAGCTTTTTTCTTTAGTACAAATACATTGTCCCATTAGCTACAGTTGAACAAAACCTATCAAACTTTGATTTGGTGCCACAGTCGTGAAAGTTTATTCAAGTGAAAATGTTCTGCCATAGAAAAAAAGCACAAATTTTATCAGCGAAACCTGCCATGTGCGAGCGCCACGGCTGGGACACTTGGCAGGGAAAGACCCATGCATGCATGTGTGTGTGTAAGTGAGGGAGAGAGGGGGGTTGATCCTTTCCTCTTATTTTTGAAACAGTTGATACACCAGTGATGGTAACTTCTTTTGCTGACCTTTTGTGGTCAGTGTGGTCTGAGTATCTTCCTTAAATTTTTACATAAACTAAGGTCGTAGTTTATCTGTTAACTGGGATCTACTTGAGTGTGTTGTCCATGATATGCTGTTGTTGAATTCACAAGTGAAAACCAACTGTCCCAGCAGCGCACTCTACTAAGGCTGTCATGTTTGCCCAGTTAAAGTAGCTGTAACATATAGAACATTTAATGTATCCATTTGAAGGACGTTTATCATTTAATGTATTTTGAGTGGGACTGAATGACTCATCTTTTTTTCTGCAGGCTGCAGTTTGAATGACCTTCAAGCTGGAACACCCTTGTGCCATGGCTCCACCGAAGATGCGCCTTTTGAAGCTAATTGCTGTTGTCATTGTGATAGCATTCCTTATACTTTACTGGCAGAGCACCAAGACAGTTGACAGGACACCTGTTGAAGCAGTGCAGTGGGTGGCTGATGTGCTTACTAATCCACCATCCACATTGGCTTCAACTCATAGAAGCTTTCAAGAGAGCCTACGATTGCCACCAATCCAGTTTGATGAGCGCATAGTGCATTTTGACCTAAAAGGTGCACCACCTAAGCTTGAATACTATGATGCAGTGTTTCCCCTGCTGCGCAAGCTCGGTGCCACTGGACTTCTAATGGAGTACGAAGACATGTTTCCTTACACAGGCATGCTCAGCTCTCTTGCGGCTAGTAATGCCTACAGCGAAGCCGACATAGCCCATATCTTGTCTGTTGCTCGTGCCAATCATCTGCAGGTGATTCCACTGGTGCAAACATTTGGCCACCTTGAGTTTGCACTAAAGTTGCAAGAATTTTCAGACCTTCGAGAAGTGAGCCATAGTCCTCAAGCACTATGTCCCTCACTGAATGAATCTTTTGCCCTAGTAAAAGCTATGCTTGACCAAGTCCTCCATTTGCATCCTAATTCTCAGTATTTGCATATTGGTTGTGATGAGGTTTACTCATTAGGTCAGTGCAGTCGCTGTGAGAGGCACATGAATGTGGCAAACATCACAAAAGATAGGCTTTTCTTGGAGCATGTAGAGAAGGTTGTAGCTCATGTGACTCAACATGGGGTTCGTCCTATTATGTGGGATGACATGCTGCGAAGCATTGATGCTGATGAGGTACAGCAGTGGGGTGCTGCTAACCCAGTAGACCTCATGGTCTGGCAGTACTCTCGTAATATATCTAAATATATTGAAGACCAGCACTGGCTGAAGTATGGCCGTTACCAAGGGATCTGGATAGCAAGTGCTTTTAAGGGCGCTACAGGTCCAAAGCAGTTGCTTCCAGACATCAAATACCATTTACAAAACCATCATTCTTGGATGGAAACACTTAATAACCACCGGGAACTGCTAAATGTGCGGGGTATTGCGCTGACAGGGTGGCAGCGGTATGACCACTTTGCTACACTTTGTGAGCTTTTTCCAGCAAGCATGCCATCTTTGGCGACAAACTTAATCTACTTGCAGCATGGGTGTATTGACGAAATGCAGCTGTCTCAAATTAAGGAACACTTGCAGTGCAATAGGCAGCTGCCTATTTTTGATAATAGCGAAAACACCCACTTGCTCTTTTGTCAGTTCCCGGGTGCAAAGGTGCTTACAGGAATCCAGCAGCTGGTGACATTGTACAACCAAAAGAAAGTGATGGAAAAAAACAGTCATTATGTTGGATGGCTAGATAGTTATAATGTCCGGCTGTCATTTGTTAGTCCTGATCACATTCTTGAAGCAACCAAAAACCTCACTGAGCTACTGAGCACATCTAAGCATCTGCACAAGTTCTTGGGCGATGCACTGTCGCAAGTGTATGATGTGCATACTGTGGTAGAGTGGATAGGTACGTTCCTTGATCCTTTGCATGCTGAGCTCACGCTGCTTGAGCAGCGAATCCAGCGGCTGCTTAATTATAGTATATGGCCTAGAAGAGCATTACAACAGACAAGGTGAATTATAATCAAAATATGTGAGTAGCTGTCACATGCTAAGTTAAGAAAAGGTCAGCAGTCGATAAAGCATAGGAATTACAATCTATTCTTAATAACTGGTTTATTTACAAGCATGAACCACACATGGGAGGCCACTATTCATTTGTACAGGGCTTTTTTTGATAGCGATACAGATGCTATGTTAGGGTCCTGTCGTTTTTGTCTATGAATCTACATCGAGATAAAAATAGTTGGCTGAAGCTAGAGCGAAGAAGAAGAAGTTAATTTGCAAGAACTCTTTAAATAACTTTGAGATATTGACTATAGGACAGTTTATATTACAGAGTTCTAGTCCGTGACAGTTTATTGCTTAGGCATATTTTTAAATATGTCAAAAGTTGTAGGTGACTTGAGATATTCATCATTGAATTTTAGAGCCGATACTGAAAGTATCTGTATTCAACATGCAGCAACCGTGGCTGCTCTGTTGTGTTGGATAGAAACTGCCCCTGACTAGGTCAGAAGAAGTTCCAGTTATATTGTTTCAGTGATGTCAGCCTTGAAAATTGACTCCAAATATCTCATTTTACATGCAACTGTTGTAATTGTAAAAAATTGGTATGCCGTAAATCGTGACGTTTTGCAATTCTTTTACATACACTACTGCCCTCAGATTGATAATAAAAAAAAGAACTTATAGGTGTTTGTTAATTAGTCACTTCACTGTTACTTTATCTAAGGAAAGGTGTTTCTGCTTGAATGTAGTGTTCGTGTTAAAAAGAGAGCAGCCTGGTTATCATAACATCTTCTAATGAAAAATGGTTATGGTTTGAAAAAAATAAATGCACTGTAAATATGTATTGTAAAAATAAATGTGCACGCACGTGCATATACACACATACACACACACACACTACAACCCTGAATATCACAAAATTTTCACTAGAGGCACTTTGATTTTTGCTAATACCAGTTCACACAGTTGCTTCTATATTCGTCTTCTCTGGACCAAAATAAAGTTTTAATCACCATCATCATCATGCTCACTGGAACACACTTCATCCTGCAGGTACAGTTTAGCATGTTTACACAATATTTGTAATTTAAGGTACTAATCACTGAAGATATACACTAGAGAAGAAAAGCATCAGCTCATTTAAATGTGTTGGCCAACAGCACTTCATAAAAATAACTTAAACTTGATGCCATATAGTGTAAAACGGCATTAGATGGCTTCTCTTGTATTATTAATAAAATCAAGACTGTCAAGCTGGAAACTCGTACCTTTTAATTAACTGCCAGAAACTTGGGAATGTAGGGCTTAGTACAAAGCAGTCTTCGTGGGTGCCTTTTAGTTCTGTTTTATTTTTCTATTTTGCTACAAACTAAATATGAATGACATCTTTTGCATACACATACACTTGGAGGACCAGACATTTGGAAGAAATTATGGAGGATAATCTTTTTGTTTAATCTACATGTAAAAAAAAGATTAATGGAAATGTAAGTGGACAGAAAGATAACTTGTTGCATGTCAGATCCGAAATGCCATCTGCTGCATTATGCATGTGGTTCTTTGTCAATTATGCTACTAAAGTGCCATCTTTGCACTGACTTTCTATAGGTTTTGTGTACACCCACGGGAAAAGATTAGCCCTTGGAGCATTAGGCAGCATTGCTCATGACCACAAAAAGAAGCTAACAACAAATTGAGACCTTTGGATTTCTGTATTCTTTGTGCTATCTACATAAGTAATCCATCCCATGATCTTTTTGTTCACACTCCTCATTATTTTGTGGGCACATATTGTTGCAAGCTGTACTCTTTGGCACCATCTGTTCCTCTGCCACAATGTAGGTTTCTTCTGTAGATACATGATCACAGCACTTTGCCGATTTCTATAGTAGCTTAACATTGTTGTGCTAGCATGATGAAAAGCCGTATCTTCAAGATGCAAGTAGTCAAACTCGTAATTAGATATACAGATTTAGCTTCCACTGTGTATGTTCTTGTGTATCCAGCCTGTGAAGTTTTTTTTTATTGCTGTTTTTAATTGTATCCACCATTTCACTTTTGCTCATAGACCAGGGAACTCGGCATGTATCTGCATGTGATATGTCCACAATGCACCTGCTTGTGGCTGACATATTGCCCTTTCAAGTTTTTGCCTTTTTCTGCAGTTGCCTTAGCTTTAATTAATTTCCAATTCCTGAAGCTCCGCAGTATGTCTCACTGTGAGCTACCTGCCAAGATTGTGGCACTGTTTCAGGCTTTTATGTTTATATAAAATTGAAGAAATAGATGAACTAAAACGAGCACAACAGGATGCAGTGCTTCTGTGACCTTTGTTGATGTCTGTGTTTTTTTTTTTTCATGCTTTCGTTCAAAAATGAGTGCATTCCAATGTCCAACCTCACAATAGTCCATAGTATGCTTTATTGTATTGCCCAAACACTTGTAAACATCTTTCGTGGTGGAAATTTTGCTATTGACATAACCCGCTTTTTTTTTCTCTTTTTTTCTGTTTTTCTCTTGTCATCGTGACCAGGCTATGAATTTTGTGCAGTCGATTTTACATTTAGTTTGGTTGTGGTTTTTAATAGCTAGTGAGCAACAAAGCTTAATGCTATGCATTTTAGAGTTTTGTCAAGTTGTCTGCTTTGGTACTCTCTTGTCTGGAACAGTTGTAATTGCTTGTATAGACTACTTCAATAATGTGCATTGGTCTGTTATATATATATATATATATATATATATATATATATATATATATATATATATATATATATATATATATATATATATATATATATATATATATATGGGATATGGCACAACGGGAGCGTTGTCAACAAGGATAAATATATTTATTTCCCAACAGTTTCAGAAGGGGTCCTCCCTTCGTCAGGGGATGAGTTATAGGGAGGACCCCTCCCGAAATTTTGGGAAATATATATTTATCCTTGTTGACAATGCTCCCGTTATGCCATATCCTATACCTTCACGAAGGCTAACTACTAGCCCATTAAATTATTACTCCCAGTGTGTGTATATATATATATATATTATACAGAAAGAAGCATAATTCACACAACGAACGTTTCGGCACAGTTTAGTCCGACGGTTCGGCCGTGGGGCCGGCCTTCATCTGGGACGAAGGCCGGTCCTATGGCCGAAACGTCGAACTAAACTGTGCTGAAACGTTTGTTGTGTGAATTACGCTTCTTTCTACACTATCAGAGCCAGCGTGATACTGCTTATAGCCCTTATATATATATATATATATATATATATATGACATGTGCTGTCGAGTCTGCTTTTAAGCATTAAGCATGCAATGTCACATTGATGGGCCTTCTTTTATAGGTATTTTTTCCTATTGCCCTTTACATGCTGGAATAACAAATGAAAAAAAAAAACAGCATATTATGATACAATTTGTTGAGCATGCACCAAGATGTGTTATCTCTGGTTATGTTCCATGGGCTGTGGTGCCTTCCTCAGTGATCTTGGCCATCGAAGCTGAGGAAGCCATGATGGTCAGTAAGCCATAAATAGAAGAAATATTTGTGTAGTGGCTTTGAATGATATATGCGGGTAATTTTACTGTACTTCTGTAGTGACCTTTGAATGGAAGGCCTGACCTACTAGTACTCACCTTTCCAGCAGGATTTGTCACTGCCACACCATTGTTTTGTATCCCCCTTAACCCCTTTTAATATATCATCTAGAAGGCGGTACATTGGTATCGTAGCTTTCAAGTGTTCAATGCCTTTAAATACATAGAGAAGTTCCGTTTCTTTTTTTATTATTACTTGCTGCACTGTATGTCCCAGTTGCTCTGAAATGTCCTTGGACTGGTGAGTATTGCCTGATGGTCTAACAAACAAACAAAATAAGTTACAAGCGTTTAGACCCCATATTACAAAAAATTGCCAAGAAAATAAAAAAAAATAAAGAGAGTGCTTTGAAGATATCTTCTGTCTGTACATATAGTTTCCTGTGCAGTTGAACCACGCTACAACTGCGTTTTGACCTACACGAAAAATATGTACGTTATATTTCATACTCGTAAAAGCATATATTTATTGCACCCTGACATAAGTGAGATACATTTCATATTTATTTTATATGATTATTATTTATATTATACTTGGTGGCATGCTACAACATGCTCATTATATTGAGGGTTGATTAGGTTCATATTTACACTACATTTTTATATAGCTGGAATTGACATAGCATATTCTCATTCAATGTCTTTTGGTGTTATCATGAATAATTTAGGCGCTAAAAAGTGTAAGACTGGATAAACCACTCATTCTTATGTTAATGCAAAATGGCATTCAAAGCTGGAGAGCTGTTCTCAATTGGTCTACCTAGCGGACATGTCCACTGCGGCAGAGTGCATTCAGTTCGAAAAAGCGGCGATGCATGACATCATGGCGCTCTTGACCATGTCAACGCATTGGGCCTGCCAGCACGTTCCCTGCGGGAAGAGAAAGATCATGACGAAATGTACAATGACAGGCCTCTTAAACAAACTTGACATGTCTGAAGTTGCATATCAGGTGCAGGGAATGCATACCAACCTTCCAGATGCGTCAGACGGGCAGCCTTGTTAAACCTAATTGAAGAGCTAACGTGATTAAAGTCCGTGCATGGCTTCTGAGATGTGGATTCAAAAGTGTTCTCTCGGGGCAGCTATCATGGTGAAACACATTTCGTCCCTCTCAATTGTGTCAAAATTTGTAAAAGCTTCGCGACGTAAAAATTATGTTTTGGAAGAATGACCGGAAACAGGGGGCACGCTGCTCACCGAGCTCTAGCCATTCAGTGGGGGCCAAAGTGGACAGTCCACAAGGTGGACACAACGAGAATCGCACGTGCCTGTGTACGTTCATGAAATGGGATGTTCCCCATAGTTGTCCCTAGCTGCTTATTTTATTTTATTTATTTGTTCATCTTCGTAGATGATATATGAGACATCTAATCATGACCATCTTGGTGTTAGTTACCACTGTATTAAATAAAATGGCCCTTGAGGAGAAGAAATAAGTGGCAACTTTTGCATTTGCTTTTTAAGGAAAGCTTTAAAGCAGCCTTAAACAACCCCTTGTTCTCGGTAAAAGAAAAAAAAAAACCATAAACACAAGAAAACATGTACAGTGAAAAGCAGAAAAGCAGCCAAATCTTGCAGCTGTGGGTGGCAAGATAGTTCACAAGCAAAGTACAAGGTCTCCACTTTCTCAAGTGCCCTCTCTTAATAAGAAAGGTCATACCTCTTCTGCTGAGGGCTGTCATACTGCAGATTTTTTCATTTTTTGATTATGGAGCAGATAGCTGCTATTGGCCAATCACATTGTTTCAATCAAATGCACTTTTTGCTACGGTATGTTATTACATGCCAGATGCCGTGCTATGGAGTGTGCTAAAATTACACAGTAGCGTTACTAACATGACTGAAATCACAGTGAAAGATTGGTGGGTAACTTGACTCGTACTTGATAGATTGAAAAAGTTTTGTGGCAGTCAATACGTGAGGAAAAAACTCTTAATACTCGAGGTTAGTTCACTTAATAAGCGAAAAATGCTTTGAAAACGAAAAATGAGAATGAACATGCATACTTTAGACAGTACCTAATCATTCAAGTTGTCTGAATGTAACATGCAAATTATTGTTTTGCATACACTTAAGAGCTTGTATAATTAAATTTAGCTTATTGTTTTTTGGGTTCTGAATTTGTTGGTTGTGTATTTCTGTGTGCACATATGTACCAATATACGTACATTGAGGCTAAAGATGCGCCTAGGTGTGTCGGCCAGTTTTGTATGAAGATGCTCCACAGTTTCTCTTTGTCTGCAGCCCCGCTGCAGTGGTCTAGTGGCTAAGGTACTCGGC